TTTTTGAGGGACCGGTAGGGGACTTCTGTATTGCCCGCAATACTATCAAATGCTTGTTTTGTTTTGTTTTATGTATCATACTAAATGATAAATGTTACTGATGATATCATTTTTATCTTTTGAGATTTCATTAACCATCTTGCACTTTTCAATTTTATATAAATAATAATGCATAGCAAGGAATATCTATACATAATCCGTCTGTTTTGTGCATATATTTTTGAAATTGAAAAAACTTTGAACAAACAATACGGTTGTAATCGATCATATTTTACATACAGGGTACCTAACTCATTTAATATATTAAGGTATTAAATGCCAAATGCAGAACCTCCTTTCTAAAGAGTATTCAATTTCAGTGAGGATACTGAGCTTTACTGAGTTCAACATAAATCACCAATATTGGTCAACTTTAATATTTTTTTATGTATTTATGTTAGGGATATGATGAAATTTCATACTGTATAGTTTTAGGTGACTTTTTAAACATTGTTAAGTATACATTTAATACATTTTATTGTAAAAATATATATTATTATTTGATAGCTTTGGCTGAGAATGGATGACATATTGTACCTCACCTGTTTCAACTGTCATTAGAGCTGTGTCACGACAAAAGTGCGTTTGCGACCAGCATTGATCCGGACCAGCCTGCGCATCCGCGCAGTCTGATCGGGATCCATGCTGTTCGCTATCAGTTTCTTTACTTGTAATAGGATCTGTAAGCGAACAGCATGGATCCTGATCAGTTACAATTTACAGTATCTCTTAACAACTATGTATTGAAAATTATTAAGGGTAACCTTTATAACAAAGTTTTTTTGGGACTCCATCAAATTTTTGATGCGCTAGATAGTAATAATTTTTCGGGATTAATGTTCTCATTTGACGAAAGATATAGAACACTCTGAGCATTCGATCACTCCAATTTACCAGAATGATTTTTCCAAATGTGAAGCATTAACCAAAATTTAAAAGTGTTGCAAGGTTTTTCACTCAAATGTGGCTAAAATACCAAAATGATACGATTTTCAATGAATTCCAGAGTATATTTTCTGATTTGTCTTTTGCATATCTTTCTGTTTATGTTCTCCAGGTAATCTAAGTAAACATTCGAATTTTATGTTTTTAGGCCTCAGCGGAGTTCCTTTAAATTGATTATAATTCATTACACAATTTGTAGAAATATAATTTAGGAAAACTTATCTCAATTTTCATGATAAATACACTTCCTTGCATTTTGTTACAGTTGATTCACTGATTATCCTTGGAGATATTTCCGCACACGATTATATCTTTTGTTGTCAGAATTGACCATCATATTCCTTGTTGTTTCTTTTAATTTGTACGTGTAAAGTTGTATAACATTTAAGAAAGTTGTGAAGCATTAAATATCATTTATTATATAATACAGTATTTCATTTTGTTTTGTAAATTTTGTGCAATAGTTTTTATATAAACAGCTGTAAAAATGTTGAATGTCATTTACCATTATAGCTTTGATGTTCATTTATAACTTGTAAATATGGTCATCATTGTCATTATGTGAACAAACCATTCAATATATATTGCTTTTTCCAAATAAAGTAGTATTCTCGTTTTGCTTTTCATCTGACTTTTTTCTAGCGCCTTATCAATTTTATGATTTTAGGACCAGGTATCCATAAGTCGCTGGTGAAATATACCTACCCAAATTATACATAATTTATTGCTTATAACGGGTGTCCTTTGTCGATTGGTTATGGTCGTTGACTTCAAAACCTCTTGCAACTCACTACTGTTTATTTGAACTTTCGATTCTTTCATGTGAGCAAGGTATCTAACAGATAGCTAACGGAACTTCGGTGGTTGTTTCATTTAGCTTAACTATGGGGACAGCTTGATTATAGCTGAACGCAGACTGCCACCTCCCGTCGGCGATGATTGCTTGCCCATTACAACAGAAAAAAGAGATACTGCTGGCATGTTGATATATATTAGTTTCTTAGCATCAGTTTAATGTATGAAATAACCATCATGGACATTTCTGAATTTTACATAGAGGAATATATAAGTCGAAGGAAATGTGGCGTGTAAGTGCTATTTTTTTTAGAAGAATTATGTAACACGAAATAATAGTTATGTAACTTGGCAATGCTGATGTGGACACTGCGAATCTTCCTAAAATTGATCAATTCTCACTTTATAGCAATCTGTTAATGAGAAAACTAACGTCCTGTATAATCGTATGGACCAAAAGGGAACCGTGATAGACTGTGAGTGATATAAATGCGAAAAACATTGCATTGTGTCAATATTCTGGTATACAAACAACAACAATATTTTCAACAAGGAACAGGTTTTACTACAACTTTACAACAATTCGTGTAACTCATACTTTGAAGTAAACAAAGGAATATGAAGTATCTAAAACAATAATACGCTCGTAGGCTCAAATCACCTGATGTCGCATACAGAATTTCTTTAAAACACCAAATCAAAAAGGTCTTTGAAAAGTTGATCCAAATATCAAATCCTGATCATAAAATAGATACTTAAGGGAACTCCACTGAGGTCCAATGACCTTAAGTAAAAAAGAATTATTTCCTTAATTCATCTGGTCCACTTAAATTCGAAATCAAGCATGATGATGATACATAAATTGACACTCGATTTTTGTGCGATTTATAGCCGATTTGAGTGAAAAGCGTTTCAGCAGCCAATTTGCACAATAAAATTGAATTATTTCTGGGAAACGGAGTGAGCGAATGATCTTAGATTTGTTCTAGACATAAATCTAGTTATACAAAAATCTTCAAAAAATTGTTTCGGTCCCTTCACGTCAAAAAACCTCAGTGTAGTCCTTTTAATTTGATAATTAAAAAATTATGAGATGTACTTTATTTGTGTTTTTTTTTTTAATTTGAGTTACTTTCATTATATTGAGTATATTTTTTTGTTTGTATATGTACCATATTTATGTGTCACCATAGTGCAGTAGAGGGTTAACTCATATTAAATTATATAAGGGGTAAATCATTTACTACACTAAGGTAACAATATAAGCGTTCTAAGATTAAAGCTAATTTCATACAGCAAGGTTCTTTGATATTGATTGTTTCTTCGTTAATACTGGGCCATGTTCCTACGTATATAAAACAAAAAGTCACAATTTTGATACAACATTATTACGTAATAACAGAAGAACAGCAATAAATTTTACACATTTTTCTGCGTTGTATGTTGAATGAATCGTTCTATTTCTGTTATATCACTAAGCATAGTAAGTTAATAAAGTCCAAATGCAACAATGCAGTTTACACAAATCTAGAAAAGGGTGATCCCACTCTCGATTGATTTAAGAGATGTTTATAACAATAGCATGCAACAATAATAACAATACCATTACAGTTTCAAAACAGGAATATTCATCAACTCAAAGATAGTTAATAATCCTCATACCAGTTTATAATTTCTTTGGTAATCATTGGCATTTCTTGAATAAGCTTTTCGACAACATATACACGTCTATTTCATTTAGTTAATATAGGTTTTCGTTAACAATATCTCACTTAGCAAGCCAACATTATATACATCACTTTAATCGGTAAGCATAAACATTCCTTAACATGACCTCAGTAAGCTTTCCAACATCGTAGATGTCATCGTAAGCATGGCCACCTTTCTTCACTCTTGTTGACAATACAGAAGGTAGGCTCATAATAGTGGCTTTGCCCGATATCTGAAAATATCAAACATAATGTTAAAACTTGATTATTTGGTTCAATCGCCCATTATAAACATCGTCAGTATATTTAATCTTGACATATCGGCCGTAAAAAATGTGTCGTCTATATCATACTGTTACTGTTTTAGGGTGTTTTCTATTTCTTATAACCGATCAGAATTAGCGCTTCATATATACATGCAGTTCGAAATTTACTGCACGGATATCCTGTACTTGTAAATGGTAATAAACTTATAAAAGAATCGGCGAAAGTTATGATGACATGTATGATATCAAGTTCAGTATGAACAATGATAGTTAATAAAGGTGTTAATTCATGCAGTGTCATTTATTGCATTGAAGTTTTTAATATTGTCAATTTATATAGTATGGTGTTCAATATTCGATATGAATTTGATGAAAGCGGCAAAACAGTCGTTTTGACACGTTATTCTTTATAATTATAACAATTGGCCGAAACATGCAAAACATGCATACATGTAGCATTGAAGCTAACCCAGTTCTACTGTTTTAGAAATTGAATGACTTTCAATAAAAGCATTATTTTAAGCATGGCAGAGTGTTTATCAACAAGCGTTACTTCTTTTACCTTTAAATCGGATGTAAGTGGCACATCAATGTTTTCCACCGAGACTTGACCGTCAAGAACAAGACCGTGCTCATGAACAATTTCTATATAGCTTACAACGTTGTGCACAATGAAGGCAATTTCTTTGATTGAGAACCTCTTCCGATCAAGAACCTTGTCTAGGCTGTTGGGTCTGCTAGAACGAAGTCTCCTCTGTATAAAGTATGGCAGAACGTCCATTATAACTTTTCCACCTTCTGCAAATTTTGATAATGTTCAAGAGTTTAAAAACATACACTTAGAAATTCAGTCCTATCGGCATTTCATTTGTATCTTCATATTAAATAAAACAAATAACAAAGTATTAGTGTTTATTATAATTGTTTAGTTGTATTATAACATAAGGATTCATGATAATCCTAAATCAAGGAAAATATCTCTTCAACATTCTAGAAGCTTAAAATTGTTCTGAACATTAGAGGCGTAACTAAAATAATGTTAAAAATTATATACCATCCGTGTGACTTGCCTCCTTCGTAGAGTGGGCTATTTTCTATTGAACAGAAAAAGAAAATACAATTTATGACGAATTATAAAACATTTTCTTATCATATCATCGACAAAAATACTGGTTTGCTATGTTAAATTGATTTTGAAAAGCAGATATATAGACTAAAACTAAAAATTAGTGTTATTTGCAAACATAAAGCTTTTGCGTTATTGTTTAAGGAAGGAAGGGACCGTCCGTAGCAGAGTCTTAAGCAGAATCATTGATTTAAAAGCGCCTTTGGTGCGAATCCCGCAATCGTTGTTTTCATGTAAGGAACCATTTTATTTTTGCATGTGAGGAAGCTATCATTATACTCAGATGCCCGTTCGTGCCTGCAAATATGCACGGGGGAGCATCTGAGGTCTTCCTTCATCACGAAAGCTGGGAAATCGCCATATAGCATTTACTGTTTTGGTCCGACGTTCGGTTTTACGAAAAATGTTAATGGAAAGGAAACTATCAAATGAGATGCTTTTGTTTAAAACTGTCATGTAATAAGTATTTAAATGTTACTCCATTCTTTACCTCTATAATTCCATTCTTTAGCTCAATAAAAAGATCAAAGCCTATGAAGAATAATTATTTTATTATTGTAAAATGAAAAATCATTTTAATATGCATATTCATACCATATATATTTAAGCACCTTAGAAGATAAGGTAAGTTTCCACTTTGTAAATCCTAACTGCAATATTCAATACCATAAGATAACAGAAAAAAATATATGTTACCTTTGCAGAGATTATAGCAGAGAATGTGTACATGAACGGATTCAGCGCCGAATTAATTGGCAGGATAAGAACCGCTGTCCAAGCATACATCTCCCCGGGAATAACGTGCCCTGATAAAGCCAGCAAACCTGCGTATAAATGATGTATTAATAATTATTCATACACAGTTATTCAGGCACTACATGCTAAATTAAATTATCACATCATTTGTCAGTCTGTATCATTATAAGACAGCTTCAACATGAAATCTTAGTTTCTATAGTCATAGCGGTATACTATAGCGCAGTCAATGCAAAGCAACTTAAAAACAATTAAACAGGAACAACTAACCTTTCTAATGAATAAGATTTCGTATAAATGATTATGTAAATAGAAAGCAGGGTTAAATCAGATTATATAATCAGTTTAACATACCCATTAAGCCAACAGGGAACCAACACATGAAGTCGGTTGCAACAAGTAAAAGAAGATTCCTTGCCACCTTTAACTCGTTGCTCCGGGACATGTTCAAACGTTTCTTCGACTGATTATGTTTATGGACCTCTATGTAGATAAGCAGCTGACCAACAGTGATGAGTCCGAAAGTGATCAAATTGAATCCAATGTAAACAATAACGGAGTACAGCCATCCTGGTGGCCTGTCACGTGTAAGTGGCAATGCAAGACATACGCCAGATTTGCTGTAGAATTTGTTGTTGAAATAATCTGTATACAAAACAGGTACAAGAGCAATAAGAACAGCAATCACCCATGCAACGGATGCCGCTAACAGGGACGTATACGTTGATAAACGGTATTGTCCGAAGGGAAATTTTATAACAATAACTCTATCGATGGTGATAAGGCACATGAAAAGAACGCTTGCTTCTGATGATAGTGTTGATAAAACTCCAGCAAACTGACACCAACCACTGTTCCGCCAGTACTCGTCTATCTCAATATACCTACGTCATAGAAGAAAGGATTGAAGATAAATAAATGTGAAAAGTGTTTGTTGAACCATATCACGTATCACTCATACATATAGTTATGAACTCGAGTTTAAAATTATTGGTACCGGCGCTACAAAATGTTATCCTCTATGAAAGTAATACTGAAAGCGAATTCGAACAAATTTTCACTTTTTATTCAATCAATTCTACAGCGTAATGCCATAAATGCGTCAAGTTTCTTAAATGGCGACATATCCGTTTATATGCAGCGGGTTCATATATGTATGGCAAATGTATGATAGATATATACATTTTATCTATATTTAGACATGTCAAGTCTATTGTGTGGCGTGACTTATATTTCCAGAAGTTTGTAGAGCGCGGTTATTTAGATCACTGTTAATAAAGGCTAAGCACGGTCGTGAAAATTCCAGTGAAACGAAAAGAAATATTATTGAGCTGATTGAAAGCAGATTACGTGCTAGGGATGTTGCAAAAAGATTAAATATTAGTGAGAGCACTATTTCCAGGGTTTAAAAGCGATGGAAACAAACGGAATACATTGGAAATGACCATCGACATGGCAGACCAAAAGTAATATCGGATCGCGACAACCGCACTTTGTTAAGGATTGTAAAAAACAATTCGGAGATCTAGTTTGAAGTGTATTACAAGCAATATTAATTAAATAGCACATGTGAAACTTTCTACTTTCTGTACAGAGGATACTTCATTACTATTGATATAAACCACGATCCGTCAGGTAAATCATAGGAATAAAGACTGTTAATAAGAAAAAGAGGTAAGCGTGGTGTAGGGGTAAAATACATTGGACAATTGATAATCAGTGGAAAAATGTAATCTTTTGTGTTGAAAAGATGGTTGTTATCTAACCTTGTGGGAGAACAAAAGTTTGGAGAAAGAGCTCGGAAAAACTGGCGACTTAAAAAGTGCTTAGGATATTTTGCTGACGGGCCGCAATCAACCATCAAAATCATGGTCTGTGGTAGCATTACTTATTATGGAATTGAAACATTAAATGGTAACATGAACTCTAAACAATACATTGAGATTTTAGACTCGAATCTGTGGCAAGTTATTGCGGAAGTATTTGCTATTAATACCTGGCTCTTTTGGGATGACAACGCTCCGTGTCAGTCCGAGGAATGGAAACATAGAAACCAAATACCCCAACTTAGTTGGCCCCCACACTCCCCAGATTTGAGTTCTATTGCACATGTTTTGGCAACTGGTGAAAATACGTTTTTATCTAATACATAACGTCAACTTGAAGGCTCAATTGTTACATGTGTGGAATGAGGTGCCATTACATTATATCCAGAAGTTGTATGGTAGTCTACCCCGAAGATGTCGACAGGTCATTTTTCAGAAAGGAAATATTACAAATACTAGTTTCATCACATTTTTTTAGGTTAGTAAATCAATTTTATAGAGATAATAGTTCCTACCGCACCGCCATTAAATAGCTTGACTCATTTATGACATGACGCTGTACTTGTTAGTTTAAATATCAGAGTAATTATACTCTATTACACCAAAAAGTTTCTCTATGATCGACTCAGGTGGTTCGAATGGATATTTTAAAAAAAGCGTACACATCTAGAAAAAAATGAGATCGCAGAGAGCACAGAAAACAATAGTTAAGAAGTGAAAATGACAGACTAGCTCTGATATATAGAGTCTGTTAATTAAAGAGAGATTACCGTAGGTGCAACATCTCTCGAGCCCCTAAGTACCGGCTTCAGATTTAATAATGCTTTAACACTTAGTGATATCGATGGACCAGAATAATATAACGACATTGAGATGACTTAAGGCGCAACATTTAAGATTATCATCTGCTGATGTAGGTATAGATATCTGAAAGGTTGCAGTCCTTTGAGATCAATATTACAAAATATTGTTTTGGGTTCATTCATGGATGTTATCAATATTATATAAAAATCTGGAAGCAAAGTGATCCTTAGGAAGCATTAATCACAACAAAATTACATAAGAATTTCAGACTCGGTTTGATTGAATCTGTACATGAGGGCTAATGAATAAGTGCAACATCCCTCACGCCCCCTAGCACCGGCTTGAGCGGTACTCAAATCTCAACACCTAATAGTGCTGACATCAATGATAATTACACTTACTATCACATCATAGATTCTGAGACATGAACATTAGTTTTGGCGATGTTAATGTACAAGATACATTATCAAAGCAATCTTGTAAAACATTACAAATATGACATGAAATAAAATTATATAAGGTCTTTATTGTGTTTTGTTTATATTTGAATAAAAGACTTCTTACCTATCCATAAACAATTTATCTGCTGTCGCAATGATAAGCATATAAATTCCCATAAGCAAATCAGAAACTGCCAGATTTGTGACAAATATTCCGTATCCAAGTTTCAGCCTATTTCTGTCGTAGATGAGTCGATAAACTATAGACAACACATTGCCAGTGAGAGCCAACAACCCTATTGTCCACATTAATCCTTGTAGCGTAGTGTTTCTCATCAGGTGTGTACATGATGAAAATTCATCTTTATATGGTAAGCAGTTTTCTTCATTCAAGTACCCAGGTCGAATACAACAAAACTTATAAGCAGACGTGACAAGTCTTTTCACCCCATTTACCCCGTCAAACATTCTTTTCGTAAAAACAGACACTGGATTATCTTCAATATTTAAATTTTGACAAGTTAGTCCGCTAAACGTTAAATCGTCTATATATGTTATCTTGTTTGATGCTAAATGAAGACTTTGTAGAGTTAATCCAGCGAATGTATATGCATCCAAACGTTCAATTTGGGCTTTGTTAATAGAAAGTGATTCAATGCTAAGACTATTGAATGCCCCAGGTTCTACAACTCTTAACATTGTGTTTCCTGACATGTAAAGCTCCTTTAAGTGATGTAAGTAGATAAAAGTGTCACGGGATAATATTGTGAATTTGTTAAAACTTATATCTAATTTCAATAAGTTGGTGAATTGTTGAAATGAAGATTTAGATAATTCTCTTATCTCACATCTTGAAACATTAAGTGAAATCAGTAGTGATAAACCTTTTCTGTTCTGTTTCCTTAGAATGTCAGCTCCGTGATGTGTTGAGTTGCTTAGGTCTAAAATGCGACTCGAGACTGGTACGACGATTGTCTGGTTATTGTTTTGAATATTTGTACATGTTACGATACCAGGTTTACACTTACATAACTCTGGGCATATGAACTCACATAACTCCTCGTCGTCACCATATGGGCAATGCTGTTTACCATCACATACTTGTTCGTGAGGAATACATACCATACTCAGACTACATCGATATCTATCTTTACACTGAAGTGGTTGACCTGAATAAAACGAAAGTTCTTTCAATTATATTTCCTAGTTTTCTGTTACAATACGAAACATGCTTTATGACATGTTTCCTCTTTTGAAATCAATATTTCAGTCCAGATTTCTTATTCTCTGTGAAACAGAAATGTACATTGACTTACAGTTACTACTTTATGCTGGTTATTACGGTGAAAATGACGTACCTGTATAATGCAAATATGTTTATAATACTATAATTACTACTATTTGGAGGTTTTAAAGATAAACATGAGGTATAAAACAAACCTTTGCATATACTTGGAAACAATGCTTTTCCAAGTGTACCGAGAATTTCATAGTCTTCTATTATTAATTGAGTAACATCATCGACATCGGCAGCTTTATATGCACCGTGTCCGATGACAATGCGGTATCTCAATGGTTGTCCGGAAGAATTTGACATTCCAAAAAGATTGAATGTGTATTTCTCCCTTTCTGTGTACTCGGAAACATCAGATACCCAGATGATTGCAGTTTGTTCTTGCTCGCTTGGTCCAGGAAAGTTATCGTTGGTCTCATTTTCATAAAACTTTTCAAAAATTTGACTAGGGTGCTCACTATAACTATTGATAGTTGAACTTTCAAAAACATATTTACTATCAGCCGTTGATAAGCGAATTTGTAATGTTCTAATAGTGCTATACTTGGAGTAAAGTGTTCCACCCAATCTAGTAGCAGTTTCGAAGAGCAGAGTTGCTCTGCTGTATGGAAGGAAATCAGTACTTTCAGTAACGATGATTATGTCTCTCTTAGCATGACATTCTAAAAAGAAATTTTAAACGTTAGAACTATTGGAATTTATCTGGTTTTAATCAGTGGTCCACATTTTGATACGTTTATACACCATGAATAACTAAGCAAAATTCGAACGTAAGACCGCAAACTGCATCCAATACATTTCAAAAGTTCTTGAATTTTAGAAATAATGTATACGATTAAATTAAAACGAAAAACAAGAAGTTCCAACACTTTATTGGACATCTTAAATATGAATTTTTTATAATTGATAATGTGAGGGCACAAGGCAAGGTTGACCAATGGTAGCTAGATCTGTGTGAATGTACATTGCAATTCATTACCACAATACTGTTCGTCTTGGCCATCTCGGCAGTCTATTCGGCCATTGCACACATTCTTCATAGGAATGCAATAGCTGTCTGTACATTTAAAATAATTAGGCGGACATGGCACATTTTCTGTAAAAAAAAGTCAATAAAAAAGCAAACATGTTTAAACGATATTCTCCAGACGGAATCTGATATATACAAAAGTTATGATAGATAACGCGGATCAAAGAAGTTATTACAAGAAAGAAAAAACAAAACAAAAACGAACACACGCATTATAAAGAAATTCGTGTCGCATAACACCTTTATTCACTTTATTACGTATATATTCGCGTTACCACGACTTCTGTTTCGCTGAATCACATCTTTTTTTCTGTTTATAACGCCTTTATAACACCTCTTACATTATTAAATTTTATTATATTCGATATTATGGGGCTTTTGTTGAAAAGTGATTAAGTGATAATCGGCAAGAAACTTACAATGTATCTTAATCATCAAAAATAAGGTAAAGCAATAACAAATTTGAAAAAGGTCGACAACAACAGTTCTTTTGAAACTATTGACAAAATATTTAAAAAAGATTACCGCAGTTTTGTAAATGTGTCAGAGTTCGGCACCCAGTAATTATGCTGTTGTCGTCAAATTCGTATAAACATCGTTTGTCAGGATCACTCACTTTGCCCTTTGAACAATGTATACTTTTGTTCCATGTTTTGAATTCTATAAGCATAAAATATATTGAAGGTAGCTACGATTTTTATAGTCAAAGATTGTTGTTTTCAGACGTTGCAATGTTATAAATTACCTATACGCATTCTAATATTCGACATAAATAGTAAATATACACACACGATGACTCGCAGTCGAGGTGTGATTTGAACAAATCTGTGATCCCTATTTCAAACGATTACAGCATAAGTTACATAAGTTTCATATAAACATGTATCTATTAAACATCATTTATAAAACTATTCATCTGTTTTTGTCTTTTACTACAATTTTAAGCCAGCTAACATTAGATTACACATGTATATTTGTTTGAATAGTTTATAGATATAAAGAAACGTAGTATTTATTCGTTTTTCAGCTGTGTAATAGCATTGGTTTGTGGTCATGAATTCG